GGATTCTCGTTGAACTCGAATTATTTTTAATAGCGATAATTTCAAATCTGTCATATTTAATGGATCGCTTTTTTCTTTACACATGTCTACGTAGTCGTTATATATGCTTGTTACGGTTTTGCTTCCTTCAATATAGGTTTTGGATGTGTTTGCTCTTGTGTAATGACTTTCAATTTTTGGTATTTTATTCATGAATTCGTTAATGCAGCTTTTAATTTAGGATCATCAAATTTGGGCATTTAGGATCATGTTTTCTCTGTTTCCCGTGTTTACCTCTTTGGTCCGGTTCTAATATTTGGTTAGAGAGTTTTTGATGCTTATCCAGTAAGGTTCTAATTGAACGATCGGTGATATCCAGGGTGTTTTTAAAAAACACTTTGCAAACTTGCACAACCTCATCACCTTTTTTGAAAACGCATTGTTGTTCTGGCGAGGCCCTCTGCTACCCCCAATGCGCACGTAACGGTATCTGGGCTCAATTTTTTGCATACATTTGTCGATATATAGTCTTTGCTTTTCTATGTCACCAAGGGCCCAATATACGTTAAACAAATGTTTTCGTTTGTCATCACTAAAATTTTTGTAACATTCGAGCTTACAAGTCCCAGCACATTGTCTTGCAGGTTTAAAGTTTTTCATCAGCGTATGTGATTCATACTCCATTCCACTATTTCTTTTCTTTTTAATTATGTTTCTCTTCCATTTTTCTGGCTCTTTTGCTCTTTTTTTCCCCCTTTTCAAGGGACTGTTCCGAATTATGGAGGGACTCRCYATTTCTGAAGTTGAAGTGCCAGGTTGGAAATCACCGAGTGATGGTGCCGCGTAAGAAATCGATGTGCTATCAACACTTTGCTGCACAACTGTACTAGCGTTGTCAAGCGGACATTTTAAAATAACCTTAAACAAAACTTTTATTATTGTGATCGTGCGTTTTATTCATGCATAGCACTTGGTACGGGTTGCCCCAAAATATTCTACTAATAAAACGTTCAAATGCCTCAAATCTGCTTTAGTGTGTTGCCGTGTTAGGTTTTAAAATTGATAACTTTAACAATATTTTTATAAAATATTCAAATATTTTTCGACTATTTAAATTCCTAAATATCAAATTTAGTCAGTTTTTTCCAAAATATTAATTATTGTATCAATATATTATTAAAT